CGTCCAGATTTCTATTTTCAATCGCAAGCCTTATTCTTTCTCTGTTCTCAATAGTGAATTTTCAATTCTTCTAATACAAATTGGGAGCTCGGATGATGGTCATGGCTGTAAATTGATCCCACTGATATGTATCTATGCAATTATCCCTGTAAAAAAAATCAGGGGACAAGGGAGTAAAGAAATCAACGTGAAAGCCATATACCTGGTCCTTGATGCTTTGGTACAGGTCTGATACTCATTAATAATAGTTACATATGTTCATTTGTATATGTCTGATACTCATTAAAAATTCATTAATGCTCATTTAATAGAAATCATGATTTTCATTAATCTCAATAGAGAAGGTTTGTTGCGTAATGAACATGTGGTGATACTCAACCAACAAAGCAACTAACAAATTCATTAATAATCATTTTGTAAGTTATTTATGTTCATCTGATACTGATCATATGCTCATTTTATAAATGTCGTGTAAAAAAATCATATTTCAAAGTATCATGATACTCAACATTATACTTTTAATATTCAACAGAATAAATGTAATGCTCAGTAAAAGTTCATGAATGCTCATTTGACAGAAACCATGATTTTCATCTCAAAAGAAGAGGTTTGATACTCAATGAAAATTTCGCGACGTTCAAGTAACAAATCTTACGATTTTTCATATTAATGAACATGTTGTAAGTTACGTATGCCCATTTAGTACTCATGTTATGCTCATTTTAAAATGTCATATCAATGCATATTTCAAAAACATCCTATTACATTAAATTTGCATATTGAAATTTATAGGAGTGTATTATAGATATAATTTAATAAGTTTTTATAAAAGAAAAAATAAGAAAAAAATTGAATTAGAAGATATGAAGCAGGGATCATGAAACTCAATGTTACCCTCCTTATACTCAGTAAAATAGCTCAGATGCTCATTAAGCGTACACTATTGCTCATTTAGTAGAAGTCGTGACTTTTTGCTTAAATTACAAAAATGCCACCGATTTTTTTTTGTCGTTAACAGTTATTGGACTGTCTTACCTAATTGGGCCGGGTGTACGTACACCCGGATGTACCATATAGGCCCTGCCTTTCCTGCTGGTCCAGTCTCAGTCCTCTTCCGGAACCTTAATTTGCAGTCTCGGGAATGAATCTTGGCTATCCCTAATTACAATTTTAGGAAATGCCCGATCTACCGGTGGGCGTAGCTCAACTGGTAGCAAGGGAGTGCCACAAGGGTTAGGTCCCGGGTTCGAATCCCGGCAACTGCGATGAGAGGTTACTATGCTAAAAATGCATAGGACCTCTGCAAGTACCGGAGACAGAGCCCCACTCTCTATCTGTCAGATTGTGATTATAGTCCAACTTACATCCTCCCAACGTACCATCCGGTCGGGATATAGTCTGCGATGATATATTGCTGGTTTTAAATAAAATCTAAATTGGGTTGTGTAGCATTTTTTTGAAAAATATTAGTTTAAAATGTTTAAAAGTTCGTTAATTAATGTGTTTAAAGCCTTAAACTGCTTAAAGATTAAAAATGACAGATAAGTTTGATAGAAAAAATCGGCTCAACCATTCTATATGATCAAATTCTAATCTACTTACCTAATAATAATAAAGTACAAGCTTCTAATTGAAATTGACTTCTCAATTAATTGCTATCGAGTCCAAATAGTGAATAGTCATTTAATTGCAATTATGTCCTAAATTCATAGTATTTGCATATGTTATGGAGTACCAATTTCCAAATAAAATACTCTGTACAAAATTATGATCATTCCATTTAGAGAGAATACGTAGATTTGAAATATTTTATAATATTGAATTTAATTTCATATTTTTGAAAGCTTTATCGATTTGGTTATAAAAAATCACATATAATTTGAAAAAAATTCATTCGATATTTTGAAATACTTTGTGATGGAGTTTAATCCAACTACGAGAGCTATATCTATGAGAGCAGATGAAATTTAGGCAAAGTAAGGAAGTATTATTATTCCGGAATCCGGACCTTTGATAGGACGTACACAAAAAGTATTTATAGACCCTAAGTACTACTACCTCCGTCCCAAATTGATTTGCAAATTTGATTTTTCTTGGTCAAACAGTTTCATTTTATTTGCTTAATTAGGATGTCAATTTTTAATTATATTCTAATTTGCAGTTTGTAACTCTGAAGAGATTTTAATGTAGTTTCTGAATATATAAATTTTAATTATTAAAAATTGAATTAATTATCGATAGGGAGCTTTGACTTTTTTTATTGGTTGACCAAAAAATGTTGACTTTGCAAAACAATTTGGGACGGAGGGAGTAGTATTCTAAGAGGAAACTGATACATTAAATGTTATTAATGGAATAAGAGTCGAGTAACGTTTTGGGCGTTATGCAATGATTGCTTCCCTTAGGTCCTCGTTTCTTCCGTTACTCCTGTCTTCTGCCAGATAGCTATGCACGAACGGTAGCCTGCCACATAAGCCATAGGAAGAGTCCGACCTCACTAGAACTCCGCTCAGGCTCGAGGTCTGTTGTTCAGTCTGGCCTGGTTGTGGGTTCCTTTTGCGGGTGGGATTCCTAGTCAGGCCCAACAACTATTTAATACTAATCCCGTTTATGGGTTGATCCCGTTGAGGGCTTAATCCCGTTAAGGGATGGTCCTGTTTATGGGTGTTATCCCGTTAAGGGCTGGTCCCGTTTATGGGCTTTATCCTAAACTCACATTTGGGCCATGGCCGTAGTCCATGTTACCATCACGACCCCCCTACTCTCTAAAATGAGTCGTGTTGTATTTTAGGAGAGTAGAAGGTTTCGAATTTTGAATTTCCTTTTGTGGCGCCGTTTTGCATTAAATGCGAGTAACACGTGCTTGTCTTCGCAACTTCCCACTATGCTGTCTCATCTTCAGCACTCGAGTGCCTTGGTAGCGGTTCCAGAACGGTTGTTGAGGATCCAACTATAAAGGTACTCCTCTTTCATTCAAACCTTCTGATAATTTGCATTCTTCAAACCCTAGGTAAGAAAGCTTTCCTCTTCGCTCCACTTCCCTTTCCAGGTCAGTCTTATCAATGTCTTCTTCTAGTTCCATTCCCCTTCACAAAGTTTTCCCTGATGACGGGGCTAGTTCCAACCGGCGTAAGATCTTGGTGGACTCAGAGGGGAGAGAGACTCATTTCTATCTTTCCGCCGATTTTGCTCACGCGATTACGGCCGTTGCCGTTTCTGATGCTGAGTTTAATACGGCGGCGGCCCTTGTTGGGCCCGGCGTCGTCTGGACCTAGGGGTGTTCACCGGTCCAAAACCGGATCGGACAGGACCGGAACCGGATAGGACCGGAACTGGAATCTTAAATTTATGAGAACCGAAGACCGGACCTATTACTAACCAGTCCAGACCGACCCAGACCGGAATTTTCCGGTACGGTCCGGTTTTGACCCTAATTAACCCGGTTTTTTTAACAAAAAAATAATAACATAGATTTTTATTTCGAAAAATAATCTGATGAGCAAATATGCGTAGTAAATGTTTAATTCATATATCAATATTAGCATTTAAATGTTTATTACTTCCCTAGTGCACACTACAAACTAGCAGATTGTATTTGTAGTCTTGAATTCTTACAGGTTGCAACTTAAGAAACAGACTTGAGAATATCATAAAAATATACTACCTCCGTCCCTTAAAACTTTGCCTAAGTTGACCGGCACGGAGAATAATAAAGTAAAAACTGTGTGGTTGATATTTGTGCAGAGGAGAGAGAAATAACAGAAATCACAAAATAATTGATTAAAAGGGAAAGTGAAAAAGTTTTTTGGGACGTCCCAAAAAGGAAAGATGGTAAAGTTTTAAGGGACGGAGGGAGTATAAACTACAACCATAGACCATATTGCACACCTATAGAAAAGGTACTGCATAAAAAACAAACTGCATTGTAGTTTCAAATCATAGCAAATCAAATAATGAAAAATCAATTTTGCAAAAAACAAAACATAATACTATTAAATTTAAAAAGATACTATGAACGTATCATGGGTTTTCCTAATTTAGTTCGTAAAATAAACGGGACACCGGTTACAAGCCCTAAAAATGAAAAGTATTTTTTTGGGAAAAATAATTTAACGGGCCACCGGTCCGGACTGGTATTTTTCCGGGTTTTACCCGGACCGGACCGGAACCCGAAATCTTAATATTCTAAAGACCGAAACCCGGACCGGTTAGTACCGGTCCGGTCCGGTCCGGTCCAATCCGGTCCGGTTCAGGTCTAAATTACGGTCCGACCCGATTAATGAACACCCCTATCTGGACCCGTCCTACCCCTGGTCAGAACATTTTAGATTTCCCCTCTCCCCTTCATTTTGGGATTCACCTTTCTAGCCTTGAAATGGACCTTCGGTTTCCACTATGAGGTCATCCTTGGTCAACTCACCCCCACCACGCACCTATTCATCGTCGGGTTCATAGACTGGTGTATCTCTTAAAATTAGACCAACCCTATAGCTGTTCTTGACGTTCTTTCATTCGGTCTGGTGCTTCTGAGGCCCAGGAATTTTTCTCAATCTCCCAGAGGGCAGGCCACCGCCTATTTGAGGCCAAGTCCTACCAGGATTATTTTAAGAATTGGAGGCATAAATGGGTGTGGGTGACTCCGGCGGATGGCAAGCTGCAATTTGAGAATAAGTGGGGGTGTTAATCTAGCGGTGGATCATGCCCATCCTGAATGAGGGGACTGATTACGCTACGAAGCTCATCGCTGAGGGTTCGCCCTTTTTGATGGGGCATTATGTAGGTGAGGATGGGGTGATTATGCTTACATTTTCATCAGGTCAGCAATGCCGGATTTTGCATCTAACTTATCTCTTTTCCTTCCTGCTTGATGATTGAGTTCTGATTGGTGTGTTTCTTTTTCTGATTCAGAGGGTGAGAAGATGGCTTCCAGGCTTGAGCGGCTGGCCGCGAAGGCTGGTTCAACCCCGGGTCCCCTGGTTCCTATTAAGAAGATCCAGACTCGGGATACTATGGAGGCCGCCCCTGGAAAGTCCAGTGGGGTCCACAAGGAGATGGCGTTGCGACTCTTGCAACGCCGACTGCATACCTCCGGCCTCCTCTGGCGAGGGGGCCCGGGAAGAGGCTGGCATCCCAGTCCATCTTCTTGCCCAAAGGGAAGAAGTCCCGAACTGCCGAGAATTATGCTGGAACTATTGTAAAGTGGAGTCTGACTCCGAGAGTCAGTCCTTCGAGGGTGGCAGTCAGGGGGACGCCCCGACATCTCTTCACAAGATCCATTTGTCCATGCACTCCGATTCTACCTCCCTATTCCGTCAAACGATCAATCCGGTCTCCCTGGCCTTCGCTATGACCCCACCGGCTGATGGAGAGGAGATTGGAAGTCTTTCTCCCCGGTTAGCTCTCCGGTGTGCAGTTCACTCCATTTCTGAGGTAACGCCCTTTTTCAGCTTAACTGTCAATTCTGACATCTTATAGGAACTACCTTTAATCCTCATAGCTTTCTGCTTTTAGGCTTTTGTCCTTGTTGCCTCCATCTCTCGTCGCTTGGATGGGGAGGAAGAGGAGGCTCAAGGCTAGGCCGACCACCATAAGAAGGTGGTGGCGGACCTGGAGGCTCTCTGAGATGCCGCGATGAGGGAGGCCAGAGAATTGCAGAAGAAATTGACCAATGTTGCTGCTGTTGAAATGGAGCTGAGGAAGAAGGTGGAGGAGGCCGACCGTGCTGTTGTTCAGGCACTGGAATGGCTGTCAACTCCTGAAGGGGAGGTGAAACTGGATGAGGAGGGGGCACTTTGCTTCCAGCTGGGTAGGTATGGCATGCAAAAGGCCATCTACGAGGTCCTGCTTGGGAGAGACCCCTCCTTTACTGCTTCATCATGGGGTTTGCCCGAGCCAGTGGTCAATCTGGAAGCCTCCCAGGTCAGCCCTGCTTCATAAGCTCCTCCTTCTCCTACCGGTAATAAAATATGATCCTTGAACATCTTGATATTTTAACAAACATCTTTTTGAGGCCTGAGTGTGTCTAGTAGTTTTCCACCCTTAGGGTGGTTTGTAACTGAAACATCTTTACATTTCTCCTCTTTTTCTGCATATATCTCGTGACTGCTTTCTATTTACCTTGTGTTGATTTGCCTGATCTGCTTCGTACCCTAGAATCTTTGAGGCCTTCCAGCCTTATTTTAGGCTAGTTTGTTCTCCTTGGACTTCTTCCATCTTCTAGGGAGTTTACCTCTGACCTCTTTTGGTTGGGACCTATACACTGTAGGTTTCCCAGACTTTGTGTGATCACAATTGTCCTTACTTGTTTTTAGGCCTTGAATTTCCGGACTTTCGTCTCTCCCATTTTAGGGAAGACTTTGCTAATTTTTTAACCCTTAGGTTCTTAATGGTTGAACCAGATGGGGTGGGCTTTTCATTCGGGTTATTTTGACCTTAGGACGAGCCGCTTGATTGGCGAAGCTTTGTGAGTCTCTCTAGTGCAAAATTAATTCCCTTAGTTCATCTTTTAGCCTTGTAAAATCATCTTAACCTTGAAGAAGGTTGTCTTTTCGTGTCGGAGGAAATCTGATTTTGTTCATAAGGCTGTTTAACCTTGAAAAAGGTTGTTTTATTCCCGCTCTCATCTTTGGTAAGACCAAGGTCATGCTTAACTGGTACTCGCAAAAGACAAAGTACATGTTGTCTTTTGCGAGTACCAGTTAGGCATGACATTTCCTTTTTTTTTTCTTTTTTGGCTGGTTTAGAAACCTTCACAAGTATTTTCAAGTGTAAAGGACATTTGTGAACTACAAACGCAACTTTATTAAAAACTCTATGTTTAAAAGAACTACAAACTTTACAAACTTACTGGGAGAATTTCAACAAGTGCTCAAAATTCCACACCCTGTCTACCAGTTTTCCTTTTGGAGTACACAATTTGTAGGTCACAGGCACAACTATCCCCTTGACTCTGTAAGGCTCTTCCTAATTCTTAGCAAAACTTCCACCTTTTAGAGGCTTGCTGGCAGATCTCCTTCTTCGGACTAAATTTCCGATGTCAAACAGTCTCGGCCTGACCTTGGCATTGTGATATTCTTTCACTTGTCACCTATAATTATCGGCCCTGATGAAAGGCTCTATTCCTCCTTTCTTCAATTAGGTGGAGCTCGGCCCTTAGCATCTCTTCATCAGTTTCAGGGTCGTAGTCTTCCACCCTTCTGTTTGGTACTATTGCTTCCGGTGGTGCTCGAACCTCAAAACCATAAGTCAAAGCAAAGGGAGCCTCACTACTGGCCTTCCTTGGGGTTATCCGATATGCACAGAGTATGTTGTTTAGTTCATTCACCCTGGTTGTTCCCATGGACTCTAACTTCTTTTTGAGACCATCAACGATTGTTCTGTTTGCATTTTTCACATGCCCGTTACATTGAGGGTAAGCAACAGACGCTCTGTTGGCCTCAACTCCCCATTGCCCACAAAAGTCTTTGAAGGGCTCAGAGTCAAATTGTTTTCCATTATGAGTGATAATTTGCATGGGAATGACAAACCGCCAGAATATATTCCTCCAAACAAACCTTGTGCATTGTTCAACAGTAATAATAGCCATTTGTTTGACCTCGACCCACTTAGTGAAGTAATCAATAATGACTATAACGAACTTCCAACCTCCTGAGATATGCGAAAGGGGGCCCACGAGATCGATTCCCCACCTCGAGAAGGGGATGACCGTTCTTATTGGGGTATATAAGGTAGCAGGCATTCCCGGGCTTATCTGTAACTTCTGAAAGACCTCGCATTTTCGTGCAAAGTCAACACAATCCTTTACAATAGTTGACCAAAAATACCCTTGCAAAATGGCTTTTCTACTTAAAGTAAACACACCTTGGTGTGATGAATAGATACCTATGTGTAATTCTTTTATCACTTGTAGGACTTGTTCTAGCACTTGAGGAGCACACCATTGTAACTTCTTTTATAGAGCTTGCCATCTTGGGTGACATAGTTTGGAGTCCATCTCCTGATCACCCTTACCTTTTCCTCATATGTGGGTAGTTTGGAGCCCGTCTCATGAATGAACCCGAAAACCAAAAAACCCGAACGCATTCTGAATTTGTTCAGCCCAAAAGGCCCGATCACTTTTTTTATCAGAATGGAGTTTGAAATTATAAACCCGTTAATTGAACGATTTTACCAAATATCAACCCGTCCTTACACGAACTCGTTCGACGCTCTCCAGTCTCCCCTAGTCATTAGGCACTACAATGATAGCTGCTTAGAGTTGTTTTTTACTTCCTCCGTTCTTAAATAAATGCAACGGTCAACATTTCACACTTGCCGAGACCCAACTTTGACCATTAATATAAATGATTTTGTATTAGTAAAAAAATAAAAAAAAAAAATAGATTATGAAAATTTACAATGAGACAAGTTTAACAATATTTTTTTCATAAAATAATATTATTACATTAATAAATAAAATGTAGTCAAAGTAGAACATGTGAATAGTGTAAAAGTCAAAGTGTTGCATTTATTTAAGAACGGAGGTAGTATATACTACAAATATTGAGTTATGACTAATTTGTTCTGACACGATATGTTCAAATCTGAAACTAAAATCCATCCCATTAAAAATGTCATTAATCCACATACACAAATCAAATACTAGTACTTGCATGTTATTAATTAATGAACCCGTCTGATATGATCTGTTTAAGTCTGGTCTAATCTGAACTAGTCTGATGGTCTCTGTGTGTATTTTATAACTGTTCAAGTCTGATATGGTCTGATCTAGGGATGGACCCAACCGGTTCGGCCCGAGTCCGGCCCGACCCACCATTGTGCGGGCCCAGACCAGTCCGGTTGGTGCTAATCGGGCCCAGGCTTTTACCCGGTTGGGGGAGGGTTGGGCGGGCCAGGATCGAGCCCTATATTTGTTGAACCGGTCCGGACGATTCGAGCTGGGCCCGAGCTTTTTTTTTGTTTTTTCAAATTTTTTTTGTTTTTCTTAATTAAGGCTGGGTGTTTTGGGGGTGTTTTGGGGATGGGGTGAGGCCGTGAGGGGGGGGGGGGGGGGTCGGGGGTTAATTACAAAGCAAAAACAAATTACCTTGACCCGGACCCGGTATCAACCCGGGCCAGTTTCGGGCCCAACAATTTGAAAAAGGCCCGCCCGAACCCGGCACAGAACCGGAACCGGACCCACCCGAGTCCATCACTAGTCTGATCTCATCTGTTTAAGTCTGATTGAACAGTCCACAAGAAAACGTTCAAAAAGTATTTTAGAATTGACAACATGTGAATTGCCAAGTAAGTTGGCAAAAAGTATCCTTTAGATTAACTTTGAGATGTTCAAATACAATTTATTCAATTAATCATACTTACCTTTTTCTTCATCATTACCAACACTTGTGTTGGTAATTCTCATTTTCGGACTCCGCTGGCTTTCTACTTTTTCCGACTTACCCTTTATGGATTCGACACATTGGCCAATTTACAACCAATTTCGCAAAAACAGTCCGCTTATTCCAACATTTCCAAGGCCAGATAGGAAAGTCAAGATATCGTTTCTTTCACTAATATCAATGTAAAAAAGTGGAACTTATAAAACAGGTACAACTTCATTCCCAAATGATAATTTATAACTAAAAACTAAATGCATAGAGATGTTAGTGCGTGCATTTGAAAAACACAAAATTCTAAAATGATGATAATCATTTGATCTTGAATCTCACAATTGAGGTTCAAACTCCTTTTTTGTGGAACCTATTGAAACCACAAACAGATTATAACAGACCGATAGCAATCTGCGGTACATCAGAGGAATAGAAACATGGGAAACCAAGAAAAGGAGGAAACTATGTGATGTATAGACAACAATAATATTGTTTCAGCGTGTATAGCGTTCAGCAGCAGTCTGCTTGCTAATCCAGCAGTGATGTTTGAGAAATGAATATTGATCAAAGGGGGCGTCAACAAAGTAATTTGCACTAATAACAATTGTAAGCGTCGAATAGTAAAAGCAGAATACCAGGGTGTAATCTATGTCGGGAAAAGAATCATATCAGCATTCATTGTACACAAGGTGGTTCCAGGACACAGTAAACCCTCTTCAAGCTTGTATGAGTTGTATCCAACTTCTGAGGATCTCTCTCTTCAGTCCAGCAGGCAGAGTAAGTACAAATTAGAATCTAAACAGGAGCTGTATGACCAGAATTCCCGTGCCTTGAGTCCACTTCTTCCGGCTCTGCTGAAGAAGATACTGCAGTTAGGGTTTCCGAGTTGGTTGATGACAATGTAGATGAGGTGGTAACAGCAGCTGCCGCACTAGGCTCTGCAGTATCAACCACCACTGCTTCAAAGGCGCCATTTGGTAGGGTCGAGGGACCCGCAACGGGAGTAGGGTCAGGTGTGTCTGAAGTATACGTTGTCTCAGAATTTTCTCTCCGATCAGTCCATTCTTCTCTTCCAACCTTGGTAGGTGCAGGGTTTTGCAAATCCTCCATCATATTAGGTTCAGTGGTGGATTCTTTTGGTTCAGTAGATGGAGCAGATGTGGCTGTATCAGCCAACTCATTGTCACCATCCTCATTGACAGTAGGCTCATCTTTTTTTATGCTGGTGGGGCTAATGATTATATCCGTCACATTGGTACTGTTTGGTGACGGTGAAGCAACTGGGCCAGGTAGGCGATCACTACCCATCCTATTTTCATCTTCGAAGGCAAACCAGTTTGAATTTGTAAAGAGAGACCCACTGTGAAACACAAAAAAGTCATGAGAGATGCATTATTGATCAAACTAGCACCAGAAGACAGTTACACATACCCATATCAGATAAAATAGAAGCGATCCTTAGATGAACTTGAGCATTAGATTATGCATCTAAGGGTTCAAAAAGATCTAGAGGAGAAAATAGAAAAAGAGTCATGATGGCAAAATTGTAATTAACAGCAACTTCTACCACCCCATCCATTTTGAG